CAGCCATCAATTGTTGGTCAGCAAATAGAAGTCCTCTACCCCCCAGCAAATTCTGATAGTAGTGGTTATCAAAACGTGCTCCAGATAGTATAGAAGCGGATAATCCTTGGAAAATCATTGCCGAACTAGAGTTCCTCGTCTCCCTTGATTTCATAGAAGCTACAGTTCCATCATGATTGGTGCTGTTGCTATCCTGACAAGCAAGTCTCAATTCATTTAGGAAATCATGATCTACAGAGGCATCTGGTTGTCCTGTCCCAGAGAAGTTAGTGAGGCGATTCCGGATGAAGTCACAGCTGATTTTGCCCACATTATGAGCACCTATAGAATCAAGAAATTTATTCAGTCCATGATTGATTCTATCATTTCTTGGAAGACATAAAAGGGAACAGAGAGAAAGACGCACAGTAAGTACCTAAGAGATTGACTGTTTCTCTTTCATCAAAACCCCTGCGGGAAAAGAGGAAAAGTGTTCGGGTGATGTTATCATTGGGCTTTGGAATCTCGTCCATGGCTTCATCAAAGTAGGATTGAGTACTGTCTCTCCTGCCTGTAAAAACTGGATAAAATGGACCACCAGCCTGCAACATCAGGCAACAACGAACACCATCAGCGTGGATGGTGAAGAAGGTATGGATGGGAGTAAAGCAGCGGCATACTAGGACTGATTCAGTTCCTTGTTTCAGAAATTTCAATAACCAAACAGAAGGAAGGGAAGTGATGAAACTTAAATCAAAATAACAAGGTCCTAATGCTGTTCCATCACCCTTAAACATTTCAGATCAAAGACTGCAAAATTTGTAGTCTAACTAACTGAAATTTTCACTCGGAGTCAGATTCAGATGTCATTAACGAAAGCTCTTACTACGTCTTTTTTTTTTTTTTTTTCAAAACAGAAACACCTGAAAGCTAAAGAAAACTAAAGCTTAGTTCAATATCGAACTGAATGAAGGAAAGATTAAAGCTGCTGAGTGCCAAGTCCATGTAAAGAAAACAAAGCAATAGAAGTACAGACCAGCACAACAGCATCTCTGGTGGCAAGTGCAAGGGTGTCAGCACATGAAACTACTCCTGGGCATGCATTGTCAAGCTCCTCCTTGATCATGTCAATCTCATTAATACCTCTCAAGGTCTTGTTCGGAGCGGCCTGCCTCTCAATGGAATGGTTTTTATTCCCATTGCTATCATCCAAGAAGACTGAAGCATCACAACCCTGATTGTAGTGATCCCACAAGATCAGTAATAATTAACGATATAAAAAACATTACCATGAATCAATATCTAGATAAATACAATGAAAAGAATTCTGAATCAATATCTAGATACATGCAATGACAAGAATTCTTATTGTTAATAGCAAGACTCAGCATCCAGATCAAATTTGTGGTTATCTGCCTAAGAAATTAAGGAGTGCCCCATCAATGATAGCTCCTCACGAAAAGTGTCTCAGCGAAGAATTTACAGAACCAAACAACTGAGAATAACAGGCCAAGAGTTGAAGCAAGGATGCACAATAACAAGAGAAGAAATTTCATAAAACACGCAATTTAAGGCCAATACAGACCTGAAAAGCTAAAGAACCAAGTAGCCAACTGCAACAGAAAAATAACACACAACTAACAAACACGAGGCAGGCACACTTTGCGTGTAAACCAACACACCACAAAAACAAAATCCCAAATTGATAAGAACCCTATGATCATCAACAAATAAGAAACCAAATTCCCCATTTGGGAATAACTTTGTAGTGATCAAAAACCCTCAAAGAAAGGAAAGAATACATAGAATCCACAAACCTGGCCACTTGAAAAAACCCTCAAAGAACTACAACAAAGAAACCCCAATTGAGCAAAACCCTTGCACACATCCATATTTAGAGAAAAGAAAAGCCACAAACATTTAAAGAAAAGAAAACCTAATTGAGGAAAACCCACAAAAAAAAATCAAGAAGAAGAAAATAGCATACCTTGATGAAGCAATCATGGAAAAGAAGCCTTAAAAGACCAAAAGAAATATCATTTTGCTGCATGTAAATCCTTGCCATTGTTGATCTAACAATTGACTCAGCTTGTGGACAATTCTGGCGATAAAAATCGTATTCAAGACCGTGAAGCTCATCAGCTAAAGAAATAACACCTCCTGGAGTACTTGTGGCACTGTCTCTTTGTAGAAAAACAGAAAATGTTTTCTCTTCTTTTTCCAGCTTCTCTCTTTTGGCCCTTTCCTCCTCCTCTATTTCAGATGGAAATTTTAAGGAAAGAATCACAGAGATTACGAAGATAACTATAAGTGTCTTTGTCTTTCTCTTCATTAACTTTGCCATTTCTCTCTTCAATCAATCAAGTTTTTGATTTTTCAATTCTTTGAAGAAGCAGAAAGAGAGAGGGGCGGTTTGTAAGTACTGAGAGAGGGCGGGAAATGGAGGTGAGGCAGTTATGTTTCTTGAATTGACGGAAATAGCCTACAAACAGGTATTATTTTCGATGAGACTGGCATGGGGTTGTTGGTAATTTGGATGCTTAATGCGGTCGTTAGTGGTACAAACAACTACTCTTGCATTCCAGGGCTTGGCCTAGCGGTAGAAGGGACTTATCTCCTTCCACTGCACCTGGGTTCGAGCCCTGGCGTGCACACCTATCACCCTCGCGGTGCCTTACATGCCTACTGTGTTTGCAGAGTATTTAGTGGGCCGTGGGGATTAGTCGTGGTGCGCGCAAGCTGACCCGGACACCCCACATAAATAAAAAAAAATATCTAATTGATGAAAAAATAAATTATTAACTCGTGGTAGATTATTTTTTAGCGTAAAAAAAACTAATTATTGTTTTTTAATAAAACAAATTTTAATTATAAATTCAAAATATAATATCAATTTAATGATGTTTTTTAAAAAATATTGATATAACTATATGTTAAATAATATTTTTTTTAAATACTAAAATTATAATATATTGCATAATACAAGTTAATTTGATAAATATATAACTCATGAAAGATTACGAAAGATTAACATATTTTTTTTTTTTTTAATTTTTTCAGCAAGGTTCTAGTGGCTGCATTAGCCGAGAAACCCCATTTCTTTGACAAGTTCGCCATCGATGATGGATTCTTTTGTCGGAGAAATCCTTGGATGATGACATTAAAGGTGGTGCCTTCGTTGCTTGCACAGCCGTCCTCTTCCATTTTTCTTAAAAGCTTGTGTGCTTCAGCCAGCAACCCTTTCTTGAAAAATCCATTTATTAACGCAGTGTGTGCATGAAGGTCAACACGAAACCCTTCATCAGGCAGTCTAGAAAACAGTTCCTTACCTTGTTATATATTCTTCCCACGGCGGCGGCTGCTTTTGAAAGCAGAGATTTGAAAAGAAGCCTATCATAACAACCATCTGTTGTTGAAGACGAAGAAGAAGTTGGAGGCCGAAGCAGAATCAAAATCATGGCCGTAATTATTGTCCTTTTTCACTGCCCAGCTATCCCTACTTAAGAGAATGGGTTACTTAAGAGAATCAATACATTAAAATAATTACAAATATAAAAAAATTAAATTTTAATAAAAAAGTTAAATTTTTAAAAATAAAGTTAGCAAACACTCATTTCATTTCTATTCTAATCTCTAAATAAATTCTCTAAAGACAAGTCGCTTGCTTCACCATCACTAGTACTAATGAAGTAGGTCTACACATGGAAATTAGATTTTGAAGCAGTCTAATCTCATGAAAAATGTAAAATTTCTCTCATTAAATCTAATAATTTCTCAAATCTTTATTCATTCAATACATAATTTTTCACTTATTTAATTAGGTATATATATATATATTTATTTTTTAAAATTAATTTTTTATGCTAAAAAATGCGTTAGAAATGCTGACGCATTCTTTTTTATTATTGAATATTACAATATGGTAGAGACGGAATGCTGCTTTCTTTTTTCTCACACAACAAGAATACAGTTGCCATGTATAATAACCAATAATAAGGTTTAACCTGAATTTATGAATAATTTGTGGAATATTATCAAATAAAAAGGTGATGTATAACAGTAAAAGCATGGATGAGTTCGTTTGTGTATATTATTTTAATAGTCAATGAATCCTCCATATAAATAAAATTTCATTTCTATATTTTTAAATTCAAATAGATTTTTTTTTGTGATCACATTCACAATGGATACTATTATTTAAAACTTTATAATATACATGAAGAATAATGAAAAATACAACTAATAGATTTTGCTAAAGATGACCTACGGTTTGAGTGGTTGATCTAAATAAAAATATAATTTTTTTTTCTTCCCTCGAAGTTGGTAGGAATATATTTCAAATGATATTTTTTTATATTTTATTTAAAATTAATTTATTAATGTTTTTAAATTATTTTAATATGCTAATATTAAAAATATTTTTTTAAATAAAAATATTATTTTAATATATTTTTAAATAAAAATACTTTAAAAATCAACTTCTACTATCTTCTAAAATACTTATTCAGTGTATATTTGAAATTAAAATATAATTAGATTTTTATATAAATACAATTATTTTAAAGCATGGATTATATCTTATTAAAAAGTTAAAAATACATATTTTTTATTTTTTTTATAAATTAAAAAAAAAACTTAACCTTATCTTACCACATTTCAATTACAAGCACACCAGTAAATAAAAATATACCTTTGTTAACTTATCATTATTCTATCATAAATTTCATTAACTACAATTTTAATTTTAATTATAGAAACACAATTAGCAATCTCTAACCTTAAAAATTCATGTTTCTATTGTTATTTCTTTCTTGATATTTTTTTGCATTTACATCAATTAATTTTTTTTTTAAAGGATAAAGATTTGTGTTGTTTCTTGGGTAATTGCAGATCAAAGGTGGAGTAAACTTTAAGCCTAAAAAATAAAACAAAGAGGGATTACTGACCATCAAAATGAATAATAATTAAAACAATGATAAACTCAAAAAAACAAAAACAAATAAAAACAACGGTCCCCAGTAAAATAGCATGGCAAATTCTTTTACCCCCAAGTCATTGTTTCCTCATGCTTATAAACCCTAAAATTTTCCACGAACATCCCTTTTCTTCACTCACTTTCTTCCTCTCCCTTTTTTGGAGGTTATATCCTCCTCCTTCAACTATTATTTTGACAGACTCACATGTTTTGATTTATTTTTAATGTTGTTTTCTTGGTAACAGAGAAACTCATTTGTTTTCCCTTGTCTTTTGTTCTGCTCTCGTGACTATACAAGGTATAATTCATCACTTTTTCATTTGAAATTGTACATGGCATCTTGTTTTTGTTTGGTTTGGTGGAAAGTAACTTACTTTTTGTGAAAGATTAGGAAGAGATTGTACGGGTTAGTTTTTGTTTTTGTGTTAATATTCTGGGCTTGTAAAGAAAACACTTTTTTAAAAAATCTTTTAGATTTTTCGGTTTTGAATTGGTTCTTAATCTGGAATCTGGCTTATTTTTCTGTTGGAGTTTGTTAAATTTATGTACTTGGCTACGATTTTTCCGACCAACAGTTCATTTTATATGTTGCCAGAAAGCTTTTTAATCATTATGGGTCTGGGTTTATAATTCGCCTTATATTTTATCCCATAGAATGGATGACCATTTGATTGCATGGGAGAGTTAGTAAATCTTAGAAGGGGTTTGACTGTCAATTATTACAAATTGTTTGTAAAGTTTTCAGGTCGGAATTGAAGCTTAAAGTTTATAGTATTAGTTAAATTTTGAGGTTTTTTTTTTTCTTTTTTTATCTAGATTCTGATTTTCTATTTACATTTTTTTTTTTCTTTTTTTATCTAGATTCTGATTTTCTATTTACATTTCTTTTTTTCTTTTTACTAAAAGTGCATGCTTTCATAGCCTATTTTGATCTTGATGTGTATTGGCAAATCTGTTTGCAGGGTTATTGCCTAGTGGCACATTGATTTCTTCAGTTCATACAGGGCCTGTATAGACTGTTCATAACATTTGGTGGTGCCAGACACATATGGTAAATTTAATTACTAGTGATTCATCTCATTCCGGAATGAATGATGGCGGACTGTCTAGATATTCTCAGGGAAAACTTGAAGAAGGTGGTTGTTGGTACTTTTCTAGGAAGGAAATTGAAGAGAATTCTCCATCTAGACAAGATGGCATTGACTTAAAGAAGGAGGCTTATCTACGCAAGTCATACTGTACATTTCTACAAGATTTCGGCATGAGACTTAAAGTGTGAGTTTTATGTTGTACTCTATCTCATTTTGCTTAAACTAAATGTTTAACGTCTCTGAATTTCAATTTTTATTATATGAATGTTTTCTGGGTAGTCCCTTTCATATAAAAATTGGATTAAAATGGAATCTATATTTACAAGTTAAGATAATTTCCTGTTCCCTTTGGTTGGTCAGTGATGAGAACATGCTGTGTTTATGCTTTTATCTCTTAATTTTTTTGTTACATAGTAGTATATGGGGATTGCCAATGTTGAATTTATAGAGTATTTGAAGGAAGCATAACAAAGAATTCAAACCAGAATGCACACCATTTGATGGTGAAACAGAGAAGGTAGAGTTTTAAAAGGAGTAATGGTTCTTCTGTTTACACTACTTAAATTTTTAAGCGGATGATTTGATATATTGTTGTTGTTCTGCACATTGAATGCACTGTATTCTTGGTAATTATGTGTGAGATAAATCATGTATTTTTTGAAATGCAGGCCCCAGGTAACAATTGCTACTGCAATAATTTTCTGTCACCGATTCTTTCTTCGTCAATCCCATGCGAAGAATGATAGGAGGGTGAGTCAACATTCCTTCATTAAATGTCAAATCCTTTTCTCCTTCTTGGAAATGATTATTTAATACATATCCAGGATGATATGTAACTGAGGTAATAGCCAGTGCAATTGTCTCTTCCTTCTTTTTGGTGTTTTCCTTATGTAGTACCCACTCCCTGAATTTGTAACCAATGTTTAGATTTCCTTAAATGACCATCTTGTCTAATTTCGCTCAAATTGTCTCCCAGACTATTGCTACAGTTTGTATGTTTCTTGCGGGGAAGGTGGAGGAGACTCCCCGTCCACTGAAAGATGTTATTCTCGTTTCTTATGAAATTATACATAAAAAGGATCCTGAAGCAGTTCAGAGGATCAAGCAAAAGGTAATTTGCTTGTGCAAAGATGCTCCCCACTTCTTCTGTTACTTGTGCATATCTATCTCATTTCATCCCAGCAGTGGGATTTGGATTCCCCTCCACCACTTCTCCCCTTTTCTGATTTGACTATGCTTTACACAATCCACTTCACCCCAACAATTGATCTTAAGCCCAAGCATGTTGTGTCTGAACTCAAAATGCCAAACTGTATTGTCTTGTTGTCAATCCCTTGGACCATACAGATTATAATCTACAACATGTTTGTGGTTGTTTTGATATTCAATGTTTAGCATATTTTCTTTTGCTTCTGTATATCCCTATCATATTCAGCTGTCCTGTATATATATGTTGCCTTTGTTCTGTTCACATTCCTTTTGTTTCCCTGCACAGTTCATTTTCTTTCTCTTAACTTGCTATCCACATCTCTCGTGCAGGAGGTATATGAACAGCAGAAGGAAATAATTTTACATGGAGAGAGGGTTGTACTTGCAACTCTTGGTTTTGATTTAAATTTGCTCCATCCATATAAACCTCTTGTTGATGCTATAAAGAAATTCAAGGTTGCTCAGAATGCCCTTGCTCAAGTTGCATGGAATTTTGTGAATGATGGGTATGGAAAATTGCTTATTTTAATTTACATACCTTTCTTCATTGTCTCATCTTGATTGGGGATGCCACATGCAGACTGCGTACATCTCTTTGCTTGCAATTTAAGCCCCACCACATTGCGGCAGGTGCCATTTTCCTTGCTGCAAAGTTCCTCAAAGTAAAGCTCCCATCAGATGCTGAGAAGGTCTGGTGGCAAGAGTTTGATGTCACCCCACGCCAGTTGGAGGGTTGGTGTTTTTCCTACAATCATATCATTAATATTAACAAAGTATATTGGGCGTGGGGGGATTTTGGGGGAGCCATGTAAATACAAGTGTAATCCTCTGACAGTGTTTACTATACAATAGCACTTTTGAATATGGTGGGTTTCATCTTTAATTGTGGAATTAATTCTCGCAGAGGTAAGCAATCAGATGCTGGAACTGTATGAACAGAACCGAGTGCCCCCATCAGCTAACAGTGAAGCTGAAGGAAGCATTGTAGGTGGAACTTCTCATCGGGCCACATCAAAAGCTTCATCTAGCAATGAAGAACATGTGGCACCTAATAATCATTCTCAGACTGGAGGTATTAGTACAATACTTGGAAACTCAAATCCAATGTCTAGACCAGTGCATGAGCAACCTCTTGCAGATAGTCATGGTGGTCCTCCAAGAACCAGCCAAAATCATGGTAGTTATCATGGAAGTGCTGAGATGAGAAGTGCCTCAGACCACAATATGGATGGTGAACCTAAAGATGATCTACCCTATGAAATAGAGACATTGCCTTCCCAGGGAAATTTTAGGGAAGGTCAAACCTTGAGACGAGCCTTGGATGGGCTTGGAAATGAAGATCTAGAAAGGAATGTTGCAAGAAGTGAAATAAAAGATTCAGGAGAATCAAAAGATAAACATTTTGGTCGAATTGGGGAGCATAGAGAGGGTACGTTTGGTCAATCACCCCAAGATGCTATTAAAAAGATTGATAGAGACAAAGTGAAGGCAGCTTTGGAAAAAAGAAAGAAGTCCCGAGGTGACATGACTCGAAAAACTTACTTCTTGGATGACGATGATTTAATTGAGAGGGAACTGGAAGATGGAATTGAACTGGCTGCTGAAAGTGAAAAAAACAAGCATGATAGAAGACAAAGCTGGTCCAAGCCCTTGGACAGGGAAGAATATGAGAACTTGCATCATGGAAAGACTATTGATGCAAGGGACGAAAAGCATCATGGAATGAGGGGACAGTTATCTCAAAAGCCAGATCTGAACAACATTGAAGATGGGGAACTGCCTGCTCCTGATGATATGGACCAGGGTTTTCCCTTACCTAAGCTGATCAACCGCAAACATAAGGCATCAAGCCCCCGTGACAGAAAGTTTGAGGGGAAGCATCGGAATGATAATGTGCCTGGGTCTCACCATTATAATCATCATGATTATACAGATGATCGAAACAGGATGAACCGGCTTGGTTATATGGAGAGAGATCATAAAAGACATGTCCCAGAAAATCATGCCTGAGGTATTAATGTTTGCTGGAGCACTTGGTGTAAAGCTCTCTCTCACGGATGCTGGTAACTGTTTAAACGAGATCACAGTCCCTTTGTATTTCCTTTGCAGTAAGTCGAAGTAATATATCAGCTGTTGGAGGATTCTGTTCTGAAAGGATGATTCTAGTGAGGTCTGAGCCCTATAGCATCTATCTTATAGTTGATGGTTGGATTAAACTCTTCCACGTAATTTATAAGAATGGAAGCGAGGTTTTTGGATGTTCTTAATTGTGCTTTCCTTTGATCTTCTTGTAGAATACTTGGGATCATTATCCATGTACAAAAACGACGACGATGATAATCTAGCAATCATAATGGTTTTAGATTGCATGCTTGGTGGAATTCATTTGCATATTCAACGATGACTCTGTTTGCTGCTTTTCCTCTCCTTTTCTTTATATATGATCCCATGGTTTAACTGAACCAAACATGGGAGCTTCGTTTTTGGAAAAAAATCCACATTTTTTTCCTGGATTGAAAGAAAAACCACGAGGGTTCGGTGGATTTATTTTGGCAGTTACTACATGATCCAGTGTCAGTGAAAAGGCTGTGCAATTGAAGGGAGTGTGGTTGCCCTGTAGAATGGGGGATGACGTTGAGTTGTTACTAAATGCACGACATCCATTGAGGCTTGAGTTTCAGGCAGAAAAGGAGGCTCAATGTAATCGATATAAGCAAGTTAAATTACTGTTGAGGATTGTACAATGTAACTAAGTTCTACAATATTTAGAATCAAGAACTACCAAACCAAAGTCAAAAGAGTACCGAGCATCATCTTAGAGCTCTATTACTTTTGTCATCTCGATTACTCCTATCTCGATGAAACTCATGATCATTGTCACTTTATGCACTTCTATGTCTATGGTCTCGCTCATCTCTCTTGCCTTTATGGCTATCATGATCTCTATGACTATTAGAACTTCTCTTTCTGTAATCTTGATCGTCTTTATGGTCATCACAACCCTCTTTGACTATCTGAATTTCTCTCTCTGTAATCTCCGTAGTCTCTTCTTCTATTTCTTCGTTCTCTTCTGTCCATAAGCTTTTCTCTATGAAGTCGCTCCTCATAATATTGACTTCCTTTACTTTCAGGACATCGTTTGTCCTCTCCATGTCCACTATCTCTGTATCTCTACATGTTCCTCTTTTTTCTGGCCTTGGACTTTCTGGAGTGTCTCCATCAAATACCATTTCATATCTACAAAAGCTTGTTTCTCTTTTAGACAAATAGAGGGAGGAAGGGGGGAAAAGCCATGTTATTACTAACCTTGAATTATTATCACCACCATCCTGCATATCATCGTCCTTGAAGCCATATTATTACTAACCTTGAATTATTATCTCCACCATACTGCATATCATCGTCCTTTAGTATGTTTTTTAAAGGATGATGCTTATTGGCAGGATCTCCATTGCAATCCTGTGAGAAAAGAGAAAAAGAATATTTGCCTGAATGAATTAATCAGAGAACGTAGCTTTATACAAGAATTGTTTCCTATAATTTTGCTAAGCTATTCTGAAAATCTATACTGCAATACGAAAAGAAATATTTTACAGCACATAATTACATATTTCTTTCCTTAACACTCCCCCTCAAGTTGGAGAGTGAATATCGAGAACTCCCAACTTACGAATCATGGTAGAGAAATTTTCCTTGCCCAATGGTTTAGTGAATACATCCGCAACTTGATTTGCTGAAGTAACAAATTTGGTCACAATCGAACCATCCTGTATTTTGTCTTAAATAAAGTGACAATCTATTTCTATATGCCTAGTTCTTTCATGGAAAACAGGATTGGATGCTATATGTAAGGCTGCTTTGTTATCATAATGTAGCAATGTTGGTTTCGAATGCAATATTCATAAATCTTTCAACAATGAACGTAACCAAGATAACTCACAGCATGTACCAGCCATGACTCTATATTCGGCTTCTGCTGATGAGAGTGACATTGTTTTTTGCCTTTTTTTTCGCCAAGAAATAAGTGAAGATCCCAAAAAAACAGAATAGCCCGTAGTGGATCTACAAGTCATTGGACAACCAGCCTAGTGTGAATCACAAAAGGCTCGCAAAGACAAATCATTTTGAGAAGAGAAAAACAAACCCTGTCCTGGAGCATTTTTCAAATAACGCAACACATGTAAGGCAGCTTCCATATGTGGTTTACGTGGTGCATGCATGAATCAACTTAATACATGTACAGAATACATGATATCTGGCCGAGTAATAGTCAAATAAATTAGGCGTCCCACAAGTCGCCTATACTGGGATGGATCTCTGAGCAATTTGCCTACATCTAAGAGTTTTGTATTTTGCTTTATGGGAAAGTTCACAGGTTTAGCACCTAAAATTCCATCATCCTTTCGAAATTTCCAAAGTGTATTTCCGTTGTGAGATAGAAATACCTTTCTTTGATCGAGAGACCTCAATGCCCAGAAAATATTTCAAAGCACCCAAATCTTTAATTTAAAAACGACTACACAAAAATTGCTTCAAAGTTGATATAGCTATGAGATCATTACCTGTAATAAGAATATCATCAACATATATCAACAAAGCAGTAAAGGACTTGCCATTTCGACATGTGAACAACAAGTAGTGTGCTTTGGACTGAACATATCCGGCATCTTGAATAACTGTAGAGAATTTGGCAAACTATTGACGGGAAGCTTGCTTTAAACCATATAACGACTTGTTGAGGCGACATACCAAGTTCTCTCCTTGTCACTGAAGACCAGGATGCGGACACATATAAATTTTTTCATGGAGATCACCATGAAGAAAAGCATTGTTTATATTGAGTTGGTGAAGGGACCAATCCTGGGCAGTTGCCATAGCTAATAAACAACGGACAATAAGCATTTTAGCAGTGGGAGAAAAAGTGTCATGATAATCAATACCTTCAACCTGTGTATAACCTTTGGCCACCAAACAACTTTTATAACGCTCTATAGTGCCATCCGAGTAACGTTTGATTTTATAAATCCAATGACATCCAATCGGTTGTTTTCCAGAAGGGAGAGGAGTAAGGGACCAAGTGTGGTTGGCTGCTAAAGCTGCCAATTCAGATTGCATCGCGGCTTGCCATTGTGAATGAGAAGGGGCTTCTGTGTATGAGCGAGGCTCCACATCCTGACTAATGGTAGCAACAAAAGAATGATGTTGTGGTGAGTAACGATGGTAAGAGATAAAGTTACAAAGAGGATACCACGTACCTTTAGTGGAATGATGCAAGGGCTGCACTGGAGTGATGGAATAAGGGGGTTGAACGAGGCTGTCAGGAATGGGTGAAGCAAAGGTGGAAGAAGGGGGTTGGCCATATGATCAGGAGAACCACATTTGAAGCAACGTCTCCCTGCTGTCAATATGATAGAATACAAACACAACAATTTATATTTGGCAGAATTCCTAGAGAGAGTATTTGGTTGTTTCAAGCTCGTTAGGCATTGCATTTACAATAATCCCATCTTCCTTTCCTGAAAAGGGACTGCTCGATTTATGCCCAATCAGTTCTTTAGTACTAAGGTTTAATTCATTATAAAGTTCCTTTTTTCCCTTGACATACGTGTATGTACATGAAATACTAATCAAATAGCAATCTTTACCGAGACAGCAGTTTTGCAACACTCTGACTGAAACCCACATGAATCCTTCTATCATCAATAAAAAAATGAAGAAGCCTTAACACATGCAACCAATACACAGATTGGGACAAAGAAGTGACCAAAGTTGATGTTAATGATAAGTGATGCATTCCATCATACAACAATAGGTCATCTCAAATACATTGATAATTTGATGCAGAACAAAAAAATATTTAAAGTCTAATAAGAAAGAAAAGAAGAAGCTAGAAAGAAAAAGCTTAAGAAAAAGAAGACAAGAATAAGGTTTGAAAATATGCATTTCGTAATTTTTTATTCAATTCATAAAAAAAATTTCTACTAGGATATAAATTTTAAAGCCCTAAATAAAATAAGCAATTGAGCTTATAATCCACTAAATAAAATACCTAACAATAATTAAATCAAACCCAACAAATAAAATCTAATTAATACACCTCAACTAAAAGTTCAAATACATTAAACTAAAACATAACTTGAAGCCTAATCTCTTAATGGTTTCGATTACCTTTTATCTTCTATGATTATACGACTGCATAAACAATGTTTCGAGTCTGATGTCCTAATTAATTCTCCCAAGATTGGAGAAAATTGACCTCGTCAAGTATAGTTCAAGATGGCTCAAATAATGCTCTCAAAAATCATGATTAAGCTATTGTAATGTCTTTCTAATAATCCAAATATAATCTAAATCTAGTTGTCTAACTTATATACTAGGATTCATTGAAGTTCACTATCCTTTGTAAAAACAACTTATGCATTCAAAGTAGTTTTAATATGTTCATTTTGTGTCAATGATAAAGATAATGTGGTAAAAGTATTAAAATGAGCATCAATGATAGACTGTTGTATTTTATATATAATGAGGTCATGAGCTAATATCAAAATTTAGTGGTGACACAATTAAAAGATTGATGTCTTTTCCAAAGTATAGGAGTCTCAAAGTAATAAATAACCCGACAAGACTAAGGTTGAACTACAGGAAGATTAACAATAATAATAATAATAATAAGGAGAAGAAATTAAAGAGGACTTTAAGATGTAAGATTAATGTGAGGATTAAACAATGATAAAAATAAATGTCAAGGTTAGAGAATCCACTAATGATATTTCAAACTAGTATAAACTCTTTTCATTACTCAACTGGAAACTACACACAAAGGAGATTATAATTGGATTATAAATTGTTAACATGATTATATTAGTTATCTTATTCAAATAATGCTAATACTTGTAAATGTTGTCAAGTATTTTTACTTGTTCTAGGCATGTGTGGAATGAAGGAATTAAATGACTCACCTGATAATCAAACCTTTGCTTCAATAAGCCAACGAATATCTTCAGGAATTCCATGATTTATTAACAACCTCAATCTTGCACACCTAGCTCGGTAAAGTTTTGTAATCGCATTTTAAGGCAAAGCGAGAAAATACTTTTTCAATTATTTAAGAGTGGTATCCATTTTTCAAAATGAGAAGGAAAAATAATAAGCAACATTTATCTGCAGGATCATTCAAACCACTAGATTCATTTTCACTAGGAAAATTATCAAAGTAAACTTTCAAACGATGTCCATTTACCTTAGAAACATGGTCATTTTTTGGATTCTCAATATCAAAGGCCCTATAGGATACACATGTTTCTCAATAAACGACCTGCTCCATTTTTATCTTAGCTCTCTAGGAAATAAATGGAGTTGAGAATTATAAAGCAAACTTTTTGACCAGTATCAACTTTTTGACAGTTTTCACAAGTTTTGCAGAATGCATGCGTGTCCTTAAATATGGTGGGCCAATAAAATCTATTTTGAAAGATTTTTGCAACTGTCTTTTTTTATGAGAAATGACTCTCACATGCTTTAGAATGACAAAGTTTAATGACACTACTTATCTTATTGTCAGGAATGCATCCTTAAAATATTTGATCAAGACAATATTTGAATAAGTTAGAGTTTTGTTTCAGTGTGTTTCAGGTTTTGTCAATGTTCGTTATTTCAGGTGATATCTTCTATCATCTATCTTTTTACCTTAAAATATTGAGGATAATGTCTCGTGAGCTACGAAATCTTTTGAAGCAAGAAAATTGATATTTTTAGTAAACCAAGTGATTAGTACTTAAAAGTGCATTTTTATCATGAATTTATATCATCATTTTGCACTTGAAGTATCAATAACTCCTTAACTAAAGCATGCTTTATAATAATATATCT